CCTTGCCGGGCGCATCTCCTTTCCTGATCTGATTCAGTTTTTGCTCCACCCACCCCTCCTGATGTAGGGCGCGGGCCACATTAAACCAAGTTTCTGCTGTCTTTAACATGTCATGCTTCATTAGAAGCCCTCTTTCTCTTCTCTTTACACAGCTTTCTCAACTTTTTTACATACTCTGGTCCCTCTCTCTCCTCCACCAGTTCACAAGCAAACGAACTGTTCCTCTGGCTTTATAAGTTTTCTGTCCCATTTTGTTTTACTTCCCTCCCGGGGACCCTAAGGTGGTCCCCAAAAGCCGTCACTCTGTTCTGAAAGTGCTGTGCCGTGAGACAGTGTAAGCGAAACCCGCGCAGCACCTTGCCCCCTGCTTCTCCTCCAGTAACTTCCCTATTTTGTCAGCTACACTGAGAATAATGTACATTAACCCTGTAAACCAATATATCAGGAGCTTTCACCAATCCCCACACTTTCGTGGTGTACACCAAACATTAATCCACATACACAGTGTGATCATGACATAGTATTTCAGACACGCCTGTCGGGAGTAAAATAAAAAATGTTTTTTTTTTTTTTTTTTTAGTTTTCTTTTTCCCCCCACAAGCCAATCCCTGGCTGTGGTTTTTTCCCCCGTGTCGCCATTACTGCGACTACGAGTTTCCCCTCGACAGTCACCATCACCACGACTGCGAGTGCCCGGCACCCTCTCTCAAATCAGAGTGTATCCTGTCCACTCCTGACGAGGAATATTTTGCCGTAATTCTCCCCTCCCTCACAGGCGCATCAACAACAACCCAACCAATCACACTGGTACACACAGACAACACACAAAGACAAGACATATCACACTGGTAGATGACGTTACACTGACAGGTGGGTTCAAAGGAGCCCCGGGCAAGTATACCTGTCACTTTGCTGATCAACGGACAGCCAGACGGGTGAGTAGTCCCGCTGAGCAATTCCAGACTACGCAGGTAAGGAATTATTAGACATAAAAATTCACTTACCGCTTTTGGAGGTGATCAGTCTCCGCGTCTGGAATGCTCCACGGTCCCCCTCATCCACTCTGGGTCGGGCTGAGCCGGTGTTCAGAACCCGGGCCCCACGTTGGGCGCCAAATGTCTTGGACTCGGTCACTTACAGACCATTTACCGTGATCTACCAGTGAGCCAAATTAATATGAGAATACGTGCACGTGGAAGTAAGACACTGACACTTCGCAGTTTGCCAACTTCCTAAAATTCTGTTTTATTGAGGAACTAACAGTATCATTTATAGGGCTTATGATGCAGGCAAAGCATATACATTGATTGGGTGAAAAGTCCACTGGGTTTCTGTGTGTGTTCGTCCATCCGTGTTGATATCTTCCAATCATTGTCCCCAAAAGAGACTCATTCCCTTTTATGGGGGTTGTTTACATTAAAAGATACTTTTCTCCTAATGAGTCACCAAGGGGTGAGACTCCGGATGAAGGCGCCATCTTAATTATCATCATTGTTCCGTCACCCTATATCTGATTGTTTACTTAAGAGAGTAAGGAATTTAAAGAGCAAGATACAGACAGTAGCAAGACTATAAAATTGTCATTTTACTGATCATCTAATAAAACGTGGACTGTCTATCACAATCCACTACACCATCTCTAGGGTTTACAGAGAATGGTCCGAAAAAAGAGAAAATATCCAGTGAGAAGCTGTTGTGTGGACGAAAATGCATTGTTGAGGTCCGAGGAGAATGGGCAAAGTGGTTGCTACAACATTTAGATGGTAGGGTCAGAATCTGTCATAAACAACATAAAAGCATGGATCCATCCTGCCTTGTATCAACGGCTCAGACTAGTAGTGGTGGTGTAATGGTGTGAGGGCATTTTTCTTGGCACTAGCAAGGTATACCTAATAACATATCGTGTGTGTGTGTATATATGTATGTATATGTATATATATATATATATGTGTGTGTGTGTGTGTGTGTGTATATATATATATATATGTATATACAGTGGGGCAAAAAAAGTATTTAGTCAGCCACCAATTGTGCAAGTTCTCCCACTTAAAAAGATGAGAGAGGCCTGTAATTGGCATCATAGGTAGACCTCAACTATGAGAGAGACAAAATGAGAAAAAAAATCCAGACAATCACATTGGCTGATTTGGAAAGAATTTATTTGCAAATTATGGTGGAAAATAAGTATTTGGTCAATATGAAAAGTTCATCTCAATACTTTTGTTATATATCCTTTGTTGGCAATGACAGAGGTCAAACGTTTCCTGTAAGTCTTCACAAGGTTGGCACACACTGTTGCTGGTATGTTTGGCCCATTCCTCCATGCAGATCTCTAGAGCAGTGATGTTTTGGGGCTGTCGCTGGGCAACACAGACTTTCAACTCCCTCCAAAGGTTTTCTATGGGGTTGAGATCTGGAGACTGGCTAGGCCACTCAACGACCTTGAAATGCTTCTTACGAAGCCACTCCTTCGTTGCCCGGGCGGTATGTTTGGGATCATTGTCATGTTGGAAGACCCAGCCACGTTTCATCTTCAATGCCCTTGCTGATGGAAGGAGGTTTGCACTCAAAATCTCACGATACATGGCCCCATTCATTCTGTCCTGTACATGGATCAGTCGTCCTGGTCCCTTTGCGGAGAAACAGCCCCAAAGCATGATGTTGCCACCCCCATGCTTCACAGTAGGTATGGTGTTCTTTGGATGCAACTCAGCATTCTCTCTCCTCCAAACATGACGAGTTGTGTTTCTACCAAACAGTTCTATTTTGGTTTCATCTGACCATATGACATTCTCCCAATCCTCTTCTGGATCATCCAAATGCTCTCTAGCAAACTTCAGACGGGCCCGGACATGTACTGGCTTAAGCAGGGGGACACATCTGGCACTGCAGGATCTGAGTCCCTGGCAATGTAGTGTGCTACTGATGGTAGCCTTTGTTATGTTGGTCCCAGCTCTCTGCAGGTCATTCACTAGGTCCCCCCGTGTGTGGTCCTGGGATTTTTGCTCACCGTTCTTGTGCTCATTTTGACCCAACGGGTGAGATCTTGTGTGGAGCCCCAGATCGAGGGAGATTATGGTCTTGTATGTCTTCCATTTTCTAATTATTGCTCCCACAGTTGATTTGTTCACACCAAGCTGCTTGCCTATTGCAGATTCAGTCTTCCCAGCCTGGTTCAAGTCTACAATTTTGTTTCTGGTGTCCTTCGACAGCTCTTTGGTCTTCGCCATAGTGGAGTTTGGAGTGTGACTGTTTGAGGTTGTGGACAGGTGTCTTTTATACTGATAACAAGTTCAAACAGGTGCCATTGATACTAATTGGACAATTGAATCAAAAGCTGTTTCATGGCGAGGTGTGGGCTACTCCTTCGTTATTTCTTCATCAATTAAGCAGGTAAAAGGTCTGGAGTTGATTCTGAGTGTGGTATTTGCTTTTGGAATCTATTGATGTGAACATACATCATGTGTTCAAAGGAGCTGTCCATGCAAGTGAAACAGGCCATTGTAAGGTTTCAAAAACAAAACAAATCCAGCAGAGAGCAGCAATATCAGGAGTGTCCAAAATCAACAGTTTGGTACATTCTGAGGAAAGAAGAACGCACTGGTGAGCTCTGATACATAAAAACACATGAAGGTCCACGGAAGACAATAATGGTGGATTATTGCAGGGTCCTCTCTATGGTAAAGAAAAACCCATTCACAACATCCAGACAAGTGAAGGACACTCTCCAGGAGGTGGGCATATCATTGTCATATTGTCAAAGTCTACAATCAAGAGAAGACTTGATGAGAGCAAATACAGAGGTTCACCACAAGGTGCAAATCATTCATAAGCCTGAAGAATAGAAAAGCCAGATTAGACTGCCAAAAAACATCTAAAAAAGCCAGGCCAGTTCTGGAAAAGCATTCTTTGGATGGATGAAACTTAGATTAATTTGTACTAGAATGACGGGAAAGAAAAAAAGTGAGGAGAAGCTTTGAACAGCTTATGATCCAAAGCACACAACGTCATCTGTAAAACATGGTGGAGGCAGTGTGATGGCATATGCATGCATGGCTTCCAGTGGCACTTGGTTATTGGTGTTTATTGATGATGTGACAGAAGCAGCCGTATGAATTCTGCAGTGTTTACAGATATTCTGTCAGCCCAGATTCAGCCAAATGCAGCAAAGTTGATTGGATGGCGCTTCACAGTACAGATGGACAATGATCCAAAACACACTGCAAAAACAACCCAGGAGCTTCTGAAGGAAAAGAAGTGGAATATTCTGCAATGACTGAGTCAATCACCTGATCTCAACTCAATTGAGCATGCATTTCACTTGCTGAAGGTAAAATTAAAGGCAGAAAGACCCACAAACAAAGAACAACTGAAGACAGCTGCAGTTAGAGCCTGGCAAAGCATCAGAAAGCAGGAAACCCAGTCTTTGGTAATGTCCATGGGTTCCAGACTTCAGGCAGTCATTGCCAATAAAGGCTTCTCAACAAAATATTAAAAATTAATATTTTATTTATAATTATATTCAATTGTCCAATTACTTTTGGTCCCTTTTGAAAAAGAGGGGATGGCTTTTCTTAAGAGCTGTTATTCCTAAACCTTTCCTCCAATTTGGATGTACAGTCCCTCAAATTAAACCTGAGAGTCCATACTTTCAGCCCATATCCTTTATATAACTATAGCTTGAATATGTTTTGGTAAATATCTGAAAAAACTAAAATTGTGCCTGTGTCCTAATATATATGGTCTTAACTGTGTATCTATTTGTATGTGTGTGTGTGTGTGTGTGTGTGTGTGTGTGTAATATCTTTCTGTCCTTGATAAAAAAGTTTTCCAATATATGTAGTAATACAGCAAAGCTAAATATGAAGATGTATGTAATTTGAAATCTGATTGGGAGATTTCCCTGTTCCTACAATCATTGGGATGTTCCTTTTCATTACGAATAAATGGTCACCGTTTAGGATATTAACAAATGGGTACACTACTCTGTAATTTTTCAGGTTTCACCAGAAGTATAGGAGCAGTTTATAGCACGTGTATGCTGGTGGTTCTGCTTCGTGTTCAGCTAAATATTATCGGTGGATACATCTATCTGGACAATTCATCAGGAGTAAAACCCTGCAATGTAAGTCAAGAAACATACTTGCATATTGTCTGTGTGTTGGTATAAGCTAGAAGTTTATATATCCCAATAAACTAGTCTACTAGTCTATTTACATCCCCCACACCATGCTCTCTTCTATATATTTTTTTTGTTCCTGTAGAAAACTGTTGAAATGTATTTGAGGGCTGGTTCATACCATAGAAACGCAGTTCAGATGCATTCCGGGTGTGTATCTGCATGCACGTTTTTGATGCATTCCCAAGAATTTTTGGTGCGATTTTTTTTTTTTTTACACATTCCAGTGCATTTTTGATGCGTTCCAGTTAATTTTTTCCCCTCTTTTTTTCTTAAATTTAAATAGGGACATGTGCATTCCAGTGTGTTTTTGATGCATTCTAGTACAGTTCTGTGCAGGAAAAATGCAGCCTGTTCTACTTTTTTTTTTTTTTTTTTTCTCTATCCAGAGCGCACTGGATCTGCAAGCACTGATGTGAACTATGACATTGACAACTATATAACCTATTTTCTGCATTTTGGATGCAGTAAGAAGCACACTGAAACGCATGTAGTGTGAACTGGCCCTGAGATGTACTGGATGTGAATGGAAATTTCCCCAGTGACAAAACAAAAAAACTGACACTGGCTTTAAACATTCTTTGCATTTTGAATAAAGTAGAGTGAATGTATAAATCCCCTATCAGTTTCCATCCAAAATGAAATAAAAGAGAAAAAAAGTTTTGGCTTTACTTAGCAAATGCTGTTTTTTTGCTTTTAAAACATTTTTCTTTTTTTCAGGGTCTCCAAGCATCCCCAGAGGTGCAACAACAGTATTTGTCTAGCATTCAACACCTCTTAGGAGATGGTAGGATATCATTTCACACTTTGCTACTTTTGATGTATCTGATGTTAGGCTGTTTCTCTGTGTCAGAATACCTGTGCTTCTACTGGAAGTTGGGAGCATGATCTCTTATGTTTTTTCCTCAGGCTTGACAGAACTGATAACATTAGTGAAACGAGCCGTGCATAAGGTGCTTGGTGGGTAAGTCTAATCAAAAATAGATTTTATGCAGATTACGCACTTGTGCATCTTCTTGTGAAGCAAACTAGCTGCTAGTTATTTATTTTTTAAATAAAAAAAAACATGTCTTCATTCACTGTGTATTGTTGGTAAAAATTGGATTTTTCTACATACTCGTAAAATCCATTTCTTGGGATACTTCATGGGACACAGAGCAGACTATAACTATTACTTTCTGGGCTATGTGCCACCTATAGTTGAATGGATACTGACAGACCAAACAGGAGGCCCCCTCTATAACACTTCCCCCTCCCATATAGGAAGTACCTTAGGCTACGTTCACACTAGCTTTTGTCAGCATGCCTCAGACAGGTATTTGGGAAGCGTTTTTTTAACGCTTCTCAAATGCCTATGAAAATTCTGCACATGGCAGCACACAGTGCTGTTCACACTGAAGCGTTAGCGTCGCGTCACAGCAAAACTGACACCTCATATCGAGTCAGGAGGAGTTGAAGCCTCCCAATCAAGTCTATGGTGCTGCTCCTCAAACGCTTGACAGGCGTTTGCGGGGCGGTTGCAACGCAGTTGCGAGGCGTTTGCAGAGCTTTAATACCATTTAACTTCATTATAGGCGTTTGTGGTGCGGTTTTAACATTTGGCAAACACCTATCAAACGCCTCAAAACTGCACATAGGGCATTTGGGGAGCATTAAGAACGCCTGTCAAACGCTATAGGGGCGTATGGCAAGAGTTAGAAATAAAGTCAAGTGTGAATGAGCTCTTAGTTTTGTAGCAAACAATGAAATCCCAGGAAGAGGGGCGAGACCTCTGTGTTCCGTGATGTACTCCAAGAAATTTATTTTACAGGTAAGTATGTAGAAAAAATCCAGTTTTCTTTATCGTACATCATGGGCACAGCGCAGGATATAATCATTACTATCTGGGATGTCTCAAAGCAATATACATGAGGGAAGGGAGACTACTCACAGAAACTGCCACCAGACAAGGACCTATTCTGCCACCTTAATACGCTGTGACCAAAGGCTGCATCCTCTGCAGCCTAATATCCACCTTGTAGAACCCTGTGAATGTATGTACAGAATGTATGTACAGAAGATCAAGTGGCGGCTTTGCAAACCTGGGTCACTGACACCTAATGAGGAATTGCCCAAGAGGCTCCCACACCTCTGGTAGGGTGCACCCTAACCCAAAAGGGTGGATCTTTACCATTCAAACTGTAGGCTTGAATGAATAACTGATGGATCCAATGAGAAATAGTTGCTTTAGATGCCACTTGCCCTTTCCTGGGCCTTTCCAGCAACACAAATAAGGATTAGGATCTTCTGACTTGTGCTGACATTTTCAGATCTTGTCGACTCGTACTACATCCAAAGAATGCAGCAATCTCTCTGCTGCAGAACAAGCATTCATAAAAAAAAAAAGGGTAGGACAATGTCCTGATTCGAATGAAAGCCAGAAACCATTTTAGGCAAGAAAGATGGATGGAGGCACAAAATCACCTTATCCTAGTGTAAATAAAAATTGCTGCTTTTGCGAAAGAGCTGCCAGCTCCAACACCCTTCTGGCCGAAGTTACTGCGACCAAAAAATGCACTTTCCAAGTCAACAGACCCAGCGGATTATCACAAATAGGTTTAAATGTTTTTCACTAACAAATGCTGTGCACAATACATATATTCACACAAATATGCTCAGCATTTTTTATTAAATATCTTGATCTTTGTGGGAACACATTGCATGGTAGCAGTATAACAGATATTGAGGTTTAAAACTTTGCTTCTGCAAGACACTCAACACTAAATTCAGGTCCCATGGGCACAAGGGTGGTTTGACAGGAGAAACTATAGGAAACAACCCTTGTAAAAAAAAAAAAAAAAACAGAATCAAGGAGTTTGAAGCAACAGGCCTCTGGAAAAAATAGGTACAGAGCCGAAATTTGACCTGTAACCCTTTTGCTGCCAGGTTCGTACTTCGTACGGACCCGACAGCGGGGGGGGGGGGGGGGGGGAGGGTTTATACACAATCCAGTGGATGCAGGATTGTGTATAAAACTAACAGGCAGACTTCTGCCTGTCAGGTGGAAGCATCAGGTGGCTGTGCTGCCACCTGATCGCTTCCACAGCCCCTAGTAATGTCCCCCAACCCCACCCCCTCACCCACCTGCAAAACAATAAAGTTACACCCAAGCACATAACCCCCCCCCCCCCCAGTCTGAAAAAAAGAGATAATTCTCCCAATTACATATTTCCGAGAATGCCATCTCCTGGCCTCACACCATGAAATGTAAGCCTTCCAGACTCTAGTAGATACTTCTAGAAACTGGCTTCTTAGCGTTCAGCAGAGTAGAAACAACTGGTCCTGAGACTCCCCAATCTTCAAGATCTGGGTTTCAACAGCCACCCCCTCAAATTTAGCAACCGTAAAGCGGGGTGGAAGAGTCCATGGCCAATCTTACTATGTCCGCATACCAAGATCTCCTGAGCCAAGCAGGGGCTACCAATATAACTGATATTACCTCCTCTCAGATCCTGCGAGAGATGAGGCAGAAGCTGAATCAGAGGGAAGCATAGATCAGGGAGAACTGGTCCCAAGAAGTCACCAGAGCGTCCACCTTGCTCGCTAGCGGGTCTCTTATTCTGGCCACAAACCTGTCCACTCTGTTGTTGAATTTGGACGCCAATAGATCTACATTTAGAGTGCCCCAATGCTAGCAAATTGCCTACAAAACACCGGGGTGTAGGGACTACTCCCCCAGAAATAATCTCTGATGACTTAGGAAATTCGCCTGCCAGTTCTCTATCCCTGGAATATAAACTGCCGACAGAAAAGGTACATGAAGTTCTGCCCAGGCTGGAATGTGGTTCACCTCATCCTGAGCTGCACAGCTCCTTGTGCCCCTTGGTGGTTGATCTAAGCCACAGCCATGGCATTGTCGGACTGAACCCTGCCGGTACAGCGACGCAACCTGTTTGTCCAAAAAGTTAGAGCAAGACGCACCACCCGAAGCTCCAGTATATTTAAGGATAGACTGTTCTCTAGTCAAGACCACTTTCCCTGCACCGTGGCCCCCTGCAAAACAGCCCCCAGGCCCAAGAAACTGCCATCCGTGGTTACGACCTTCCAAACCACCAGCAGAAAAGACTTTTACCTCTCCAAATTCTGAATCCGAAATTCTAGTTTGTACCCCTGCGAAACGGTGGAAATCACCGATTTTTTTCCTAGATCACTTCCTTCCAGACATTTGAAAAATGCAGAAGCCTCCCCCCCCCCACCCACAGCGGGCTTCTGACTCCAGGGCTTTTTCTGTCCCTGAGGTTTACCTCTGGACCCAGATGCCTGTTGCCGCTGAAACTGCCTCCCCCCGCGACCTTCTGCATGCACTTTTCCAAATCCTGACCAAACAGATGAGGGGAATCCAGCCAGCAGTTTCTTGCAAGTCAGTTCAGCTGCCAAATTTTTTAACCATAAGACTCTTTCAGGGCATCCAATGCAAAGCACAAGGTGCGGGTTAAATCCACCACCTCCTCAGCAGCAATCTCTCCCTGAACAGAAAAAATCCTAACTTTTTTACACAGTCCTGCAGGGACTGACAAATGCCAATTGGTGCAACAGCAGTTTGCGTTGCAGACCCAGCTAGAGCAAAAATAAACTTTTAGTAATGACACCAACTGCTTATCTGCTGGGTCTTTAAACACCTGGGCATTGTCTACTGGACAGGTTAAATTCCTATTCAGAGAGGAAACAGCAGCGTCAACAGCTGGCATACTCTATTTCTTAACAAGTTTCTCAGCCATCACAGAGCAGGCTTAAGACCCCTGATGCCCCTAGTGGCCATATAAAACAAGGCACAGTGACTGTGGTTGGCTTCTTACAAGTGTTACTGCTGTGACTGCATAGAAAAAAAAATTGGTGCTTGTAATACACATGTATTGTAAACAACTTCGACACTGCCCTTCAAAGAATGTATTTAACCGCCTCCTGCCCGCCATATAGTACAATGACGGACACAAGGCAGTGACAGCTCGTGAGAAGAGGAGAGCCGGTAATCGGCATTACTCGGAGGGAACATGTACACAGATCATCAGAGCACTGATGATCAGTGTGCCCTGATGATCAGTGCCCATCTGAGCTGCCCGTCAGTTGCCTATCAGTGCCCGTCAGTGCTGCCTGTCAGTACCACCTAACAGTGCCAGTCAGTGCCGCCTATCAGTGCCATATATGAATGCTATATAAAAAATAATATGCTCAGTGAAAAATATAATAATAATAATAGACCTTTCCTCTAATCTGTGAATAAATAAAGTCCCAAGGATAAATCAAAAATTCTTATAAAAATCATATATCCCTTTGAGAAATAAATCCATAAATCCAAGTGTCCAAAAATTATGTGCCTTCTGGATCATGTGTGGATATATTATGATCAATATATGAATATAATGTGTATAAAAAATGATAGTATTTTAAATTAATATTGTAATATATACTTTTTAATGAGATTTTTAGGTAATATATGGAGATAGTTGTATCATGTATTATGATTATTAATTGGATAGGATAGGATATAAATAAGTTTTTGTGAGAATATATATAAAAATAAGTGATTTTATATAGTATATTTTATTTATTTATTTTATTTAATTTATCAAATTGGTGTTCGATTTTTTTATATTGAGGTATTTAATTGCAACTTATATGTATCTATTTGAGATTTAAAAGGGTTATTTGCATATAATTAATATAAAGTTCATAATATATTTTAACTAATGGTGGCTTTTTATTGATATATAATTCATATTATAAGTATGCATTTGAGATATTAGGATCATTTGCATATAAGTAGTATGAATTATTATAGTATATTACTAATTAGTGAAGGCTTATTGATATGTAATTGGTATTATAATTTAGTTATCATGATGATTTTAAATTAATGTTGAAGAATATAGGATAAACCTTTTTGTGGTTGTTTCGTATGAAATTGTATAGAGGGTTATTATGGTT